ATGAGACCCAAAAACCCAAAAAAAGAAAGGTCAAGTGACTTCGTTGAAATTCGAGCCACTAAACTGGGGTAATCGGATTGTATCTTTCAATAATACATTAATCCTTTTTTCAGTATCATGTCTAACAAACGTACTGTGGACGAGCGTGTTCTGATATGTCTATTGTACGAGTTCAAGCTCGGTCACAGTACGAGGACGGCGCGTGAGAATCTGAATCGCGTATATGGCTACGGTGCAATCGCAGATGGAACAGTGACGAGATGGTACGCAAAATTTCGACGTGGAAGGTACAGCCTCGAGAGGAAGACGACAAGCGGCGTGTCACGCGTCCTGGATGACGACGAACTGGAGCAGACTGTGAAAGAGAATCCAGGATTGAGTATTTCCCAACTTGCAAAGCGATTCAACGTCGGTATGACCACCAATGTGGAAGCACCTCCAGAGAATCTCGAAAGGCGATAAGATGACGTTCATCGATTTCAAGAGACGAGAGGAGGTGTGTTAGATAATCTTTTTCCTTTCCAATTGTTCACTTTGGTGGGGATCCTTTGTTAGACACATGCCAGCCTTCCCTTTTGGTTGCCTTAAGAGGGAGACGTCAACCAAAGTCAAGTTCATATAAGCGTGCCGAGCCAGCGCTTCTTCGAGGGTCGATTTCTGGGCAATTTGTTGGTGTTCGAATTGCTACGTTCTGGATGTTGGTCAGCATAAGTTGCATAGTGCGACAAAAAAAATTATGTTTGGTGTTCAGGTGGACGGTTGGCATGTTTTTATGGTTGGTTCTTAAAGCAACACCCCCAGATCGAATTTGTGGGGTCAACGGTCGACATGGAGTTGTGGATGCCGAGTTGACTAAAATGAAAAAAGAAGCAAAGAAAACCGTCGATGAAGCCCAAGGATTCCCTTGAAATAAGGAAGGGGCGGGGCCGGACGAGTTGTACGAACTTGCCTGCTCCACGGCTCACTAACCCGCGCGTATTTGAATTAGCCGCTACGCCGTAATCCACGTTGCGTGTCATGGGGTGTGCGCGACGTAACTCGTCCAAATGCTAAGATTAGTCGCCAAATGCTGACTTTGTAAGACCCTAGCGCCATTGTCGCGCACTTTCGAGCCGCGACAACGGCACATCCGTCAAACATTCGTACACAACGTAGTTCAAAATCTTGCTGCCTGAGCGCAATAGTGCAGGTTTTTCTCGAAATTCATGATAGTGTACTGTTTTCTGGAATTTTCAACTCGATAGGGTAATGATTTTGATTTATTGGAGGGTGCTGGGTGGGATATGAGTATGTGACAAGATTGAGCTTAATACGGCACAGTTACGCAACACAAACAGGGGCTCTCAACAGTGCCTTCGAATTCGTCACACATTTTTGTACATGTTCTATGCTCTTTGGGTTTTCTCGATCATTTGATTGCTATTGTTTCAATTCGTTTTAGTAATGTGCAGTTAGGTCGTGGTGTCACACTTTGCGAATCCGTGGATTTGCTAGCGAATCGCGGGTCATAAGCGTTGCACCAGCGGTTCGACGTCGCCGTCGGATCGAACTATGGGCCAGCATTGGACTAAGCGCTAGCGGTTTGAGCGATGCACCAGTGACTCGACAGCGTTTAGCAGTGTCATGAAAGAATGACAGTCGAGACGGCGAGTATCAGGGTGCAAACGAGCAAACGAGAGGGACTTCCGCCACTCTCGAACACTGTCTAATCGCTCGAACCACTGTGCAACGCTCGTACCCCGCGATTCGCTAGCGGTTCCACGGATTCGCAAAATTTAAAACCTGACGCTTCATATCACCCCGCCAAGGCCAACTTATTCCGAAGTATCGCGGACTTAACGGTATGTCACCAGCGCGGTCACTTAAGTTTAGCAATGCTTTGGGCGATTAACTGAACTGAATGTACGCTTTTCACGGAGAAGTGGAAGTTAAAGCAACAGTCCAGGCAGGGTTTCAACTACTTGGTCATTAGGCGGTCAAAACATGCCCCAGCCCAACTAAAGTTTATAGGAAATGTCTTTAAGTTCAAAACCTACCTCTAAAATGCGCTGGAAGGGGTCGAAGTCCTCTTGGAGGGGGCGGATCACCCATACCGAGGCGGATCGCCCAACATACGCTGTGCAGAGTCCGTGCTTGACTAGCGGTCGTTGCGGGACCGCCGCGCTGTATGAGGTCGATTCCATAAGAACGCAATTGAAGCGCTTCAATTTCGATTGCTGGCAAATAGTTATGTATTTGCAAGCATGCAGCTATTTGCCAGCAGTTGCAATTGGAGCGCATGTACTACGGGCAGGTTCGGAACTCGTCCACACACGTCCTAAACGGCAGGGGGAGTCCCTGTCTAAGCCCCTGCCCGACGTTTTTTCTACTTTTTCTTTCTCCATTGACCAACTTCTCACCTGCAACGTCATTATAGGTGGTCCTTACCCGCGAATTCGTTCCTGGATTGTTGCTTTAAGAGCGAAGGGTGTGACCA